TCACAAAACCCAGATTCTGTGAAACTACTCGGACTTCATTTTCAGGGATTTACTATTCACCTTCCAGCTGATTAGAATTCACAAACCTGCCAATAAATCAGGCTTGTGTGCGGCGCAGACACGCCAGAGCTTCACTCCAACACTCAACAGCCATCCATCAAAGCATAAATAAAAGCGAACCTCGAGTCATCCTTCAGCACTTCCAGCCACTCGCAGATGAAGCCTCATATTAAAGTCAGACTCCAAGGTCTGGGACATGTTGGACAGGAGGACGGGAGGAGACACCTCTGTGGCTTCGACTGGGCTGAATCACTTTGATGAAAAACAGTTAAAGATTTTTACCGAGACTCGTATCTCCTCCTGACAAGAGGATTATTATAAGACTTGTGTTGGTTTAATTATTTCCCAGAGTTCAGAGCAGGCTGGTCGCGATGAACAGTAAACGATCTGTTCACGTTTGGACATAATTGTGATTATGTAGGACTATAACCATCTCCATTCACTGGTTGGAAAACAGTTAATAGAAAAATAAATGATGAACATCACAGATCTGTTCAAGAAACTACGCAAAGAGAAGAAAGTGGATGATCCCCATATATAATTGTCATATGTTGCATTGATTAAAAAGAAAATTAACAATCAAATCCTTTGCTTTTATTTTTTAAATGTTCATTTTCTTTCTACAAGACTGACAAAACAGACATTGACCATTTTGGGAAGTATTTTCCTGATGTGAATGTTCAAATTTAGAGTTTCTGCTGTGAATGAGATTTTTTTTTTTTTTAGGGCTATTACAAATCTCTTTCAAATTATGTTGCTGCTGTAATTTTAAACAAGAGTATAGCACATTATATGTCTATCAACAAACTATTACACAGCAATCTTAGTAATGGCCCGTATACTTGTATAAATGTTGACCTTTATTTGTGACCTTGAACTTGAAGCTGGAGAGGTGAAAAGATTATGCAACACTTCGTCTAGCGATTTCAAGGTATCATTAACTTATCTTGAATGGATCAGATGTTAGGGCTGGATGAGAGGAAGTTTACGGCATGAGAACACACCTTTCTAAGGGAGCGTATAAAAACAAACGTACAATAGTCAAATAAAATGTAATTATTTTTCAGCCCAAGCCAATATTAAAGGAAAAGTAATGCTCCACAAAGATCAAGTAAGTGCTTTGAGCATTTTAGGTTTCTTATTTTTAGCTAAAACTGCCAAAAACAGTAAATACAATCAAAAATATTCTTCATTTTCTTTCTCGTCACTTTAGTTCAATGGTTCCCAACACTGGTCCTTGAGGAACACCATCCTGCAGGTTTTAGTCGTTTCCCTGTTTTGACAGATCTGATTTAAATGAATGGGTGATTAACAGGCTTCTGAAGAACACGAAGTAATTAAATCTCTGAATCAGGTGTGTTGGGAGCAAGAACACAACTAAAACATGCGGGATGGTGTTCCTCAAGGACTAGTGTTGGGAACCACTGCTTTAGGATACAGATGACTTTGAATATCTAAAGCAGAAAGGAGCTTTAAAGTCATCACCCACTGTTTATTTCTCCAGTCGAAGCCCGTCACCTTCAGCCACATTTTAAATTTAAATTTCTGAGCATCACTGAGAGCTTTCATGTCCAGGTCTTTGTGCTTTTTATCGTGGCTTCCTCAGAAACAACAATCTGGATCATTTCAGACAGCAGGGAAACAGTAACGCAGGAAAATGGTGGAAAAACAACAGTGTGCACAAAACCTGTGCTGTCCCGCCTGAGCAGAGACGGTGCTGGTTCTGCGAGTCCGCCCATCTGTTATCTTCAGAGCTGGACACCAACAGAACCAGCATGAAAACGTGCAGCCGCTGCCAGAGCGTTTAGTCATGGCGCCACCTCAGCAACAACAGGGAGAGGTGAGCCAGGATTCTGAGCACAGCAGGTAGACCTTCCAACTTTATTCATCTTCTAAACTCCATTGAAAATAGTGGAAACGATGTGTCACCCTGCCATCGTTTGAGTTAAGCAGAAGATGTTGAACCGGTCGAGTGCGTTTCTTCAGTAATTCATAGAAAAAGCTTCCAACTACACGCAGCAAACGGTCACAAGTAAAAAAATGTTTCCACACGGCAGCTGGGAACCAGAACATGCAAGAAACGTTGCAACAAACCAGGGTTCGGTAAAACAGTTCTGCTTGTTGCAAGGATATTTGTTTTGTTTATTCTGATATACTTTAAGATCAATAGTTATTTGTTTAAGTTCAGCTCCTAACATGCATCCATCAAGTAGACAGATGTGACTCGACATCACACAAGCAGCAGAGTTATAATCTGAATCTTTACTGGCTATTTATTTAAAAATAAACATTTCTGTTAGCCGGTATTAGCCATTAGCCAGCAGATGTAGGGATGCGTGATAATATCGGCGTGGTATCGGTATCAGCCGATATTAGCGTTAAAGTTAAACTCACCGATATAAAAGGCGCTGTTTTTGTATGACAACCCAGTGACAAGGATGTCTGCAGCGTCAGCACAACGTGATGACACGTGCGCCTACCTGATCTGATCACGGCGGAGAGGAAGAAGTCAAAATGTCGGCGGTGTGGAAGGTTTTATCGTTGAGGACGTCTGATTACAAAAGATTTTTGTTCTACGTTGAGCCTCGCTACATCGACCCCAGTCAGAGATGTTTTTCAGATGTAGCCTTACCCGAGTTACAAGCCGTCATTGCCAAAGTCATTGAGAAGCTAACAGCCGATAGCACTTAGGTGAGTTTAACCACAGACATTTGGACGTCAAGTGTTAGCCCCGTTAGCATGATTAGTCTTACGGCACAATGGATAGACAAAACCTTTAAATTTAAAGTCTATCCTTTATGCACAGGAGTGCAGAAGATCCCACACTGCAGCTATAGGAACCTGGAACAAGCATCGCAGGTGACTAATGCTAATAAATAACATTTAACACTTTTCATTTAAACTAAGTTAAAGTGCTATGCATATGGCTGTTACTGAATATATGTCACCAGCTCTTACAGCTGTTACATAATTTTTGTATCAAATAAGCCTAAATAAGAGGCTATGTTCTGACAAAGGAACGTATATTAAAAATATCGGTTATCGGCCAAATAAGTTTTAACATATCGGCATATCAGATATTGGTCAAAAATCCGATACTGTGCATCCCTAATCAGATTTATTTAACCTTTATTTATACAGGTTAATCCCAATGAGCCTCGGGGACTCATTTACAAGAGAGACTTGTAGGCACGTACGTTGGATAATTTCATGAATATTAATGTGTAATAATGCAACATAGTCTTTGGGATCATATTAAGGAAAAATTATTTTGATTATTTAAGCTTAATTTAGCAACATTGTTGGAACCATTGCTGATAAAAAGAGGACATTTGTCAGGACAAATGGTCACAAAAAGGCTTTATGAGTTTATGTCTTTTACTGTGTAATATTGTTGTACTGATTGCACCAAACGGAGTTAACTTCTGTAACACGCCGTCCATCCAACATTACATACTTTCTAGAATGTATTACCTTTCAATCAGACGGTGGAGCTCATATCCTAAGAATTGGGTTATATTAGTAATAATGAATAATCCAACAAACAAACACAAAGATGGATGACAAGATGATCAAAAAGCTGCCACATGTACCATGTTAAGTTCCCATAGGAAGCAGAAACCCTGTTAAACATGTGTTTTACACACTGTACACCAGGATATGGCACTCCACTAAAACACTCTTTATCATCCAACACCCAAAATCCACACCAACAAACTTCAAAGACTGAGCAGCGAGCCCACCCAGCTACACAGCATTATGTCAGCTGATGCACATTTTAATTAGAAACCTCTTAACTCCAAACAACCAAGAAAAACTTTGAGTGTAAGTTCAGACGAGCTTTGAAGCTCAGCTGTTCTCAATCGGGAACCGAGGGACCTTCGTGGCTCATTGAGGCAATTCTGAGTCCATCACGGAAGAAGGGCGAACTGAAAGTGGACCTTAATTTAGAATCAGAACGGAGGAGGGAAAGAATCTACTCTTACGGGAGGTTAACCATTTAGAAGCTGAAATTTGTTGAGAAACACTGCTTGCATTTTTCATTAAAATTAACGTGAACTTTACAACGCATTCTTGTCCTAATAATGTATCCCATTTGCTTCATCTTCTTCATTCTATGCTTTAATTGTAGACAACAAATAAAACAGTGTGCTTAATAAAGTTTCAAGATCGTTACAGTGCGCGATATCGCTACGTTGTCTTTGCAGACACGGTCGAGATTTGGTTAAAACGTTTTTACAGTTTGGCAAAGAGTTCCAAAAGTTTGGAAAGATCTTCTAGGTTTGGCAGTAAGAATTGGCTTTTCAAAGACTTTGTGAACTTTCTTACAGAGAAGCACATTCTCTCGGTGTTCAGTTGTGGTTCGGGGGCTACAGCGTTAGAATACCTGTTGACATCAATCCCGGGCCACAGCCAAAGACCCATAAGCTTGATTAAACTACTGTGTCAAAGTTGGCTCCACAGAACCATAGGCAACCTCGACAGGGGCACTTTCAGGTGCCATGTACCTCCAGATTGTTATAAATTGACTCATAATACACATTTAAAACAACAGGAAGAGGTAAAACAAGTCTACACACAGACTTGTTGATATCAACCATCAAACTGGTTGATCCACTAGAAGAAGGTGCCAGTTATAAGACTGATATTGTTGCAGCTCCTCGGGTCTTCTGGATGAAAGATGAACCGTTTCACCAAAAAGAAACCGTCCAGAGGACCTGATTTAACTCAGTTAGATATACACAGACTTGTTTCTCGAGTCATCTGTACAGTCCAACAAAACCCAGGAAGGTTCAATTGTTTCAAATGTGTCAAGAACTCCAAAACCACACAGAAGTAAAGCAGGGGAACCTTGTAATGCCACTTCCTGAACGACATTTTGAAGACAAGGCGTGCATCATTTCCTCTGTAATAAGACTTGCCATGCTGCTCAGTCTTACCTGTCTTGCGGCGGTGATGGTGGTGGTGACGGAGGTGGTGCTGAGCGGAGATGTGAACGTGTTGAGCCAGTACGTCAGCCAGCCTGCCGCCAGCTGCCCCGCTGCCCCCACTGCGGGTGGAGGAAGAGGAAGAGGAGGCAGTGGACGAGGTGGTGGTGGTGGAGGAGGTGCCGTGGATTGCCCGGCTGATCCAGTGCTCCATGGTGATGCTCCCCTCCCGGCTGGATGGGGTTCCTCCGCCACCTCCGCCATCCTCTTGTTCACCGTCTCCGCCGCCTTCCTCGTCGCCTTCTTCCTGCCCCTCACCATCCGAGTCTGAGGAGGTGTCTGAGGAGGAACATGAGCATGAGCTTTTACGCATCAGTTTATCTCCTGGCGTTTTCAAACCCAAAGTGAAGAACCAAGTTACCACCACAACCTAACCGAGTTAGGTTGGTTTCTAAAAGCTAAAGGCTGCACATATCCTGATGCATGCTCAATAATCCAGACTAAAGGCTGCACGTTTGTGGAGAAGTATTTTCTCTAACTGGTGAGGAAAGTCCAACCACAACATTTGGCTCAGAATTTAGACTCAATCAGGGACGGGCTCAGGTTATTGTCGATTAAATGAGTGAAATCTGCACCTCACTGGGCTGCGACTGCTGGCAAGTGGTTGGAGACAGAATGGTTAAAAAAAAGCAAACTGTCACTTGGAATGAGACTTTAGTGGGTTTATCCCAATGGAAGTTTTAAAATGTGGTGTGGGTAAAATGAAAACAATCGCATAAAAGACAAAACCTATAGATCATTGGTGTCCAATCCTTGTGGGCCACCGTCCTGCATGTTTGAGATGTTTCTCTGCTTTGACACACCTGATTTGAATGGAGGAGTGACCAACAGGCTGCTGCAGAACTTCAGTACATGAAGTGACAACATGCAGGATAGTGACCTTTAAGGACCAGGACTGGACACCACTGGTGCAGATGTTTGCTCAGTATTTTTTGTGTTCGATATCATCATTAATATTATTTTTAAAATAAAAACAGATGTGCATTTTAGTGTGTTAAGTAGAAGAAATAGCACATCATTGTACAGTAGTTCCTCATTTATTGCAGGGGATCCGCGATAAGTGAAAAACCACAAATTAGGAACAGTAGTAGTTTATTTTAAGGCGCTTTAAACCCTTCCCACACTCTTGCAATATTCTAAACAATGTTTCTAAACGCTCTAAAAGAGCACAGCATGTCATGATAGCAGCTCTCTGCCACGCCCACTTCTCCGCTCCTGCGGTGTGGACTGCACACAGGTGCAGCAGGTGCTAAATAATTTGAAACAATTAATTTTAATTAAAAATTTCCATGCCGATCATGCGGCTCATCGATGAATCAGCCAATCGTGCGTCATTTCCTATCTTGCTTTGAAAAACTGCGATACAGCGAGTCCGCGAAAAACAAACCGCAACGTAGCGAGGGACTACTGTGCATAAAGGTTTAGTGCGGTTTACTACAAAAAGTGTCAACAACCTGGCGTTGAATCCATTGATCCTCTACATGTTTTTCTGTCTTTTAATGAAGTGCCTTGACTTTGAGGAGTGTCATACAGCCGACATTCACACTTTAACCATCATGGGACAGGACCCAGCCTCAACATGTCAGCTCCCAGGGCGCGTTGTTGATGCGCCTGATTGGAAAATCTGTGTCTCGTCAGCAGAAAACGATCGAGACTCCAGTGATTAAACACAAACATGTTTTGGAAAATAAGATTTTGCTAGGCAACTCTGAATGCCAGGAAATAAACATGTCAGCATATCGCTGGTGTAAAGCAGCTCTTCGTTAATGTGTTACATGATGCAGGGAGACCGAGAGAAAATGAAGCTTTGGAATCCGTCAAAAATCAAATAAGAGCTCATCAGGGCAGGATGCAACACCTGAACTGATCACAGAAACATTTAATGTGTGTGTGGCCGCTTTCTGCATGAATCGTGTGCACTTATAAACATCACATGTACGTTCTGTGCATGTGCAGTGACCGAAATAATCAAAGATTATATCGTTACGTTGCAGGCAGTGCACAAAATATTCATGTTTCCAATCTTTTTAGCTTTTGACCCACAAAATAATTGTGGAGGAGATTTGAGACTCAAACTATTTCTGATTGCCAATAAGCCAATAAACAAATATATCATGTTAATCAATAAAACAGTTGTCATCCTTTTATGACTCATGGTTTTATTTATTATTAACAGTTATGCCAAAAATACTTTATTTCATGGATAGTTTGAACTCTGAACAGCTTCTCCAAACTCAAAGTTTTATGACCCACAGTGGAGTCCCATCACTAACAGAAAATTACTGCCATATTTAACCACTTCTTACTGTAAAAGTACCAAAGTACTTAAACACGTTAGTATTTGTTAGTGTACAATGGTGGCATAATATGGTCGTATGCGTCAGCGGCTAATTCAACTCAGTTTATTTCTATAGCTCCAAATCACAACAAACTTGTCTCGGGGACTTTACAGGAACATTCACTTAAAAGCCAATTAGTAAAGTTCTCTATCTAAGGAATCCAGCAGACAAGATGAATCTTGTATCTTGAATCAGTTTAAATGAAACTCTATTTGAAAATATTTAATTACGTCTACTGCATTTTCTTCAAACGCAAGAAGATGATTTAACGTTTGCAGAGCTGAACAAGTGCTGTAATTTAAACAAAGAAAAAGAACGCCGTTTTCTTTAAAGATTTGTAATTGATGATACGGTTAAATCAGAGTACAAACTCGAGTTTCTTTCAGCTGCTCCTTTCTTCAGGAGTAAACTCGCATGAACGACTTGACGATTTGTTTTATGCCGGATGCCCTTCCTGGCTCAACCTGGGTTCGAACCTGCAACCTCAGGATTACAAGACCGCAGCACTGACCACCAAGCTACTGCAGTGTAACAAAAAATAATAATTTTACTGTTTGTTTGGTGCAAAACTAATAATATTCCATATGAATCTAGGATGTGTGATGAACGAAATACAAAAAAACGTTGCAAGAGCTTAGCGGCTGTTTTGGATTTGGTTCTGATTAATTCAATTCAAGCTGACCGTATAATTCTAATCTTAATCCTACAAACATTCACTGAAATGAAAACAAAACAAAGAAGTTTAGACGCGTAATTAGTCTCCTGTAACAGAACTTCAGCCAGCCACCATTTATCATCAGTATTACCAACACTGGGCTGAGCTTTCTTTCTTTATTTTTAAATTTTATTTCCCATTTTTTAACAATAAATGTGCTCATGGGTCAGAGTTAATCCTCTGAACACCCAACTAAGAACCATTGTGTCCAAAGCCTGATAGATGTTTCCTTTTCTGAGCTGCAGGGGTCTATTAATGTCCAAAAATAGCTAAAAACACACGAGTGAGTCACAGTGAAGCATTTCTGTCACAATTATTTATCACTAAAAAATAAAAAAGTCTCATTACTGTCCAACCAACACCCCCTGTTGTTTTACATCCTCACAGGAACACAAAACGTGTCCGCCTCTAAACATTCGCACGAGCGTTCGCCCCTTCCTCACGTTTAAGATTAAAAGAAAAAAGGTTTAAAGTTTCCGTGTCAGGAAATGAATGAATTGTAGAGAAATCAGTTTGATGAGCTTTACTCTTAAAAAAAAATCTGTGAAGCAACAAATCAAACAAACCTATTCTTTAAATTTAATTTAGCGTGAACAGAACATTCTCTAGTTTTTATACCTTTCAATTTATATATAAAAAATAAAAGCAAACATTTTCTTCCTTCCACAGCTTCATGTTTCCTTTCGTTACAGACAGATGTGTTAAAAGGCAAAGCTGAATTCACAGGTATTGATAGTGTCAGAACATTTGAACAAAGGTGAAATTTGATTACTGTATTTTCCAACGTAAATGTTGCATCAGTCCAAATATGTCAAGTGGAAAAAGCCATAAAAACATGGCTTCGCCGTATAAGTCACATCTATTACGTGAGCTGGACGAAAGTTGTCAGACTGTTGAGACTTTTAAATCTTTGCTGAAGACTCATCTGGATTCCTTGGCATTTGATCCACGCAGAGTCTGAGAACAAATTTTGAGCTGATTTTATTGTTGTTGTGTATTTACTGTTAACTTTATGTTTTTGAGTGGCACTAGATGCATTTTTTACTTTTTATCTGTCCTAACTGTAAAGCACTTTGGTCAGCTTTTGTTGTTTTTTATGTGCTATATTAATAAATTGACATTGAAGGTGGTAGGCTTTGGCAAGCTGATTGTGTCATTAATTGTCACTATTTACTTAATACATGACACAACGGCATGCCATACTGCTCGAGTGCCATCTTGCGGCTGAAAATGGTAGTGTTCAATATTTTCAACGTCAGAAAGAATGAAAACGTCATATCTCAGTCAAAAATTGGTTTAAATATGTGGAAAAAAAAACATAAATAAGTCGCTTCGGTTTATAAGTCGCAGGGCATGCAAATTATGCAACAAAAAAAGTGACTTATAGGCCGAAAAATACAATATTTAGGAGATAAACTCTAATTATTTCTTTGTGCCTCACTAGAAATAAGGAAATCTAAATATATTCAGTAGATCATAACACCATGTGGAAGAAGTGGGTAAAGATAATGAATCAATGGATGGATGGATGGATGGATGGATGGATGGATGGATGGATGGATGGATGGATGGATGGATGGAAAGATGAATG